TCACCGTGAAGAGAAGGAGCAGTGGTGGAGAGAAGAGAACCAGCGGCGGTGGAGCGCGACTAGGGCTCGGATTCAGAGCGAAATTGGAGCTTAGATGAGGGAGGGGAACCAATGGAGGCTCGTCGGCGGCGAGATTGAGCGACGCGAACGATAGAGAGGAAATAGTGGAGGCCTGTGGTCTAGAGTGGGGAAGCTTTTGTTCGTATGGGAATTTGAGCAGCAACCAGAGCAAAAAAAAAAGGGGGTGGGGGGGGGGGGGAGGGAATGGACGGCGGGAGAAATTTGGAGAAATAATTTTTCCACTGCCCAGTCATTCTAATGTGTACAGTAGTATATATTTATATATATATACAATAAACCGGCCAAAATTTTATTAACTTATATATATACATATTATAACTATTTTGAAACGTTATTATATATAGCCGAAAAAATATTTAATAGCATTTTTTAAAAAACGCTATAACTAACCGTTATAAATAGCCTGTTTTGTTGCAATGATACAGACATACAGTATTTGTAATTTGTTCTTTTACAATTTTTTACGGGCCCGTTCAATTCGCTGATTCGAGTTTGTAATTCGAGTTAAGATGTGATTTTGTGTGAGAGTTTTTTACTGTAGTAAAAAAGTTAGTTGTGACTGTTTCTGAGAGCTTTTTATTGTAATAAAACTCGAATTCTAAACTCGAATCAGTGAAATAAACGGGGCCTACATATATTGTTTCTTTTTTTCTTTTTTTTTTCGCGCATAAGTTTTTTTTATACAAAATATATAAGTTATTCGTTTACTATGAAATTAAGATGGTCATTATTTTCCTAATTAATTCCTCCTATTACTGGAAAAAGTACCCTATCTTACGTGCTCTAAATTTTGTATCTCTTTATAGTTCACCAGTAGTTTTTTCTCTTTCTTTTTTATCAGAGAATTTAAAAACTATATATATGAATAGTATATTTTAAAAATGGAAAAGTACTGATTTTTTTAATAAGAAAGGTTTTGTAGTACTACACTATTTTATTAGTATGTTTTAGTACTCAACTATTTTATTAGTATTTTGTTAGTACTAAACCTTTTTTTTTTTTTTTTTGAGGAACTAAACTATATTTTTTAGTACTCCTAAAAAAAGTAGTTTTTTTTTTTTTGTACTAAATTTTAGAGCCAGTATATAGGTACATAATGAATTAAAGCATGCGTTAATGTAATGAACATAAAGTCACCAATTAAGTATTATGGAGCTATAATTAATGTCAAAAAGATCACTTAATAGTCTAGAACTCGATCTGTTCATAAACGCGTTTGCACAAAAAAAAAAAAAGGAAAAAAAGGAAAAAGAAAAAAGAAAAAAAATCAAGATGATTCTAAAAACTAAAAGGACAACTCAAACCCAGCTTTTTTCTTTTTGGTTTCGTTTTTTGTTTTGTTTGTTTGTTTTTATTTTATTTTTATTTATATTTTTTGCTGAACTAACTCAAACCCAGTTCTAGAAAAGATCGCAATATATCACCAGATTTCATGGTGCTGGTTTCACTTTTGAAACAACTTTTCCCTGACGACCATCTTTTGCGTCTTTTTTATTTTTATTTTTTAATTTTTTAATTTCTAGTTCAATTGATTTTTTGCTACCCTACAATAATGCTATATCATATAGTACCATGCGCCAAATAATACAAAACAACTATGTAACCAATTTACAGTAACCAAGTCACACATGATTAAATTTTTCTGGTACAAGCATAAAAATCAAATTTTGTATAATATCATATTATGTCACACGATGATATCATATTATGTCACATGATTAAATTATTGTGATAGTACAGAAGTCTCATACTGCCAGACAAGTCAAAATCGTTACATGATGGATCCAATTAATTAAAGTGAGTAGCATTCAACATATAAACAATGAAAAAAAAAAATTACAATCATTTATCACTCTTCCTTGATCCTTATTCTTAGAAACGAAGAAATTACTCAATAAGGGGGAAAAGTTTCAAATTGCATTGTCTTACTTCCGTTTCCTTTCTAGTTTTTCTTCTCTAATTGGTTCGTCTCAATGGCATGATTGTATATAATGAATACTTTCCATTATAATGAATGATTTCTTTTTAGTTGGTCTTCTAATCGTTAAATATAGTCAAAATTATATGAGATTAAAAAATATATAGAATTAAATAGTTTATGATAAAAATTTAGTAGTTGAATACATAACAATTTCAGTAGTTGATTTTTTTCATTACCTACTTTTTGCCACCAATAATGTTGGGTAGGTAAGTAAGCTCGTAAAGTTATGCATAAACCCTAAAGTCGGACGTGTCATGTGCATGAACGTGCCCCCACTTTGTCTGCTTCCATTTTTTAATTCACAATTAAAAGTGATTGCCCCAAGTAGCTAGCTAGCTTTCCACTCATGAAGGGTTTTCTACCATATTTAAATCACTGTTATTGCTTTCGCTTTAATTAGAGAGCCTTTGTTTGTCAAAATGGTTCTTTTGTTTTTGCTTTCTTCTTTTTTGTCTTAGTTGGTGTAGAGATGTCAAAAGGGGCGTGCCGGGCTGGCACGGCCCTTCTAACCCCAGGCCCATGGCGGCCCTGGGCCGTGCCAGGCATGGCCCTGCACAGTGCAGGGCCGTGCCAAGGCCGGGCTTGAAGAGAAACCCTCAGGCCCAGCACTGGCCCTTGGTCCTAGTCCATAAGGGCCAGGGCCAAGCCTAGGCCCAGGCCCTTCACGGGCCGGCCCTGGCCCTTTTAATTTTTTTTTCAATATTTAATTAATATATATATATATATCATATGTCCCCAAAAGATGTGATTTTATTGAATTGAGATAATACAAATAAGTACACATAAATGATCAACTCGTTAAAAACCTTGTCAAGTAAATCTCGTTGGGAGATCGGGACAAAACCTTAGCGAAGGAAAAAAGAGTGCAGTATTTTAGGATAAGTAAATTACAAAACCTAAGTGTTTCTAGAAGATTCTGTTATGTCTAAACTCAATCTTAACCTAATTTTCTTAATGCACTTGAGTTTCACTTATGATTAGCAATATTTTTAGGATTTTTTTTAATTTCAAATTTGATGACAAAAAAAGTAATATATCATATGCCCTAAAAATATGTGATTTTATTAAATTAATATGAATAATTATAAGAAAATAACTGGTTGACTAGACGTCATAGGTCGGCCAATTGACCTTAAAATGCCTCAAACCTCATTAAAATTTCATGTCGCGGGCCTGGCTCTTCACGTGCCTGGGCCGTGCCTAGCCCTTTGCGTGCCTGGGCCTTGGGCGGGCCTGGGCCATGCCTGGGCTGCGGGCCTCAAACATGAGGCCCAGCCCAGGCCCTTCTGGCATGCCGTGCCGGCCCGGCTCATAACAGTACAGGGCCGGGCCGTGCCGAATTTACTACTGTAGCGGGCATAGACGGCCCGGCTCAATTGACACCTCTAAGTTGGTGGACAACTAATTATAGGAGCCCATAGTAACAAGTACCTAGCTAGCTTTGGTTCCTTAATTTGTGTGAAAGACATGAAATGAACTTACAATCATTCACATATCATTGGTTTTTCTTTCTCTTCCCGTTTTGCTTATGATTATCACTTCAAAAATTATATGCAAATTATCAATCCAACTTCCCAATGATAGTTTTTGAATTATAACATCCGTACTATAACAATTTATTAATGCTTAATTCTGAAGGTTGTGTGTGAAATTATTTCTCAGGACAGAAACTTTTAATGGAAATTAACTTATGAGGTGCATGAGGGTTTTATTTCAATTTGATGGATGAAAGATGCCTCTACTTTAGATTCAATGCCCTCAGATGCCTCAGTTTGGTGGACGCACATCTATAATTTACTATTGGTATCACATCTTTTGAAAAATAATTTTAACATAGTAACTTTTGACTTACACTAAGATGACAATAAATAATTTCAAAATTGACCCGTTATCTCAAGTCTATGATACAAGAGTGGTAAATTTTGAAGGTTAAACTAACTCACACTAAAATTATATTATTGAGCTTGTTTCTTTTACTATGCTTCAATTTTGTGCTGAGAAAATGTTCAAAGTTAAAAAAAAAAAAAAAAAAAAAAAATTTATTGAAGAGATGTATAAGAGAAAAGTAGAATAAGAGAAGACAAGGTTCAACTATTCATATTAAGGAAAGTGCGGAGTCTAAAGTACCAAACAAAAGAATTTTTTTTTTCCTCCCACAATATATATTGTGCATGGGTTTTTGGTGGTGGGAACAAAAAGCACACCTTTTAAAAATAATAAATAAAGAGCCCCATTCTCCACGTAGCCTTTTGAAACACAATTCCTTCAATCACATAACTAAGAGAAAGCAAAAAACAAAAACATAACCTTCAAAAGCAAAAGCAAAAAAGATCAAACCAAAAGGCAACGAGAAAGAACTATAGCTGACCACGTTAAGCAAAGAAAAGAAAAGAAAAGCTAAATGAAGAAGATCCCACATATATACTCTGAATCCATGTCTTCTTATTACTCTATTCTTTCCCTCCTACCACCGTTACCAACCCTTTTGAGCTCTCCACAAAATCGAACACCACAATGTCTCACGAGATTGTGGTCGCGGAGCCTATTTTCTACGAGTGTGAACCCGAGCTTCCGAAACCGGCCAGTTCAAGTTCAATCACGGTTAGCTCCGAAATAGTACTTGACCAGCAGCAGCAGCACCAGAGTGTTCCTGAGCCGTTTGATAGTGAAAGATTGCCTCAAACTGTGGCTGCTGAAATCCAGAGATTTCTCCGTGTTGCCAACTTAGTCGAAATCGATGAGCCTCGTGTTGCTTTTCTCTGTAAGTTGTGTGTTTTTCTTGGGAAATTTAGTTTGTTTTAAAAGGCGTGAATTTAAGAGGTGAGGTTAATTAACTTTGATTTGTTTTGTTTTGTTTTGTTTTTTAATTGTATTGGTTTTTCTTTTCCTTTCTTTTCTATTACTTAAGCTTTAGTTAGAATCTTTTATATTGCTTTTGGTGATATTTGCTTGAATATTGCTACATTTTTGTTACTAATACCGGCAAGACGTGTAATAACATTTTCGTTATTCTTTTTGAGAAATTGCTAATTTTAGTCAATAATTAAGAATTGAAAAATGCGAAATAATAATAGTATTATGAAACAATTCTCAATTATGCTCATAATTTTAGTATAATAATTATTCTTGACCATAATTCTACTTGAAACAGAGAGCGCGTTTAGTAACGTTTTTAAAATAATTTTGTTTTCAATACAAAAGTAAAAATGAGATTGTTTTGAGAATCATTCTGGGACCGATTTTGAAATTGCGTTTGATTGATTTTTTAAGAGATTATTTTGAATATAATAAAAAAATGAAATCGTATTTAGTTATAATTATTAATTAATATATTATAATATTGTTAATAAGTACTAGAAAATGAAAACAGAGAAAGAAAAATAACTTTCAAACGTTTTTTAATTCATTCACAAAAAATATTATCACTATTTTTTATTTTCGTTTTCATTTTCAAAACATTTGCTAAATAAACACGGTTTGCAAACCGTTTTTATTTTCGTGTCTCAAAAAAGTCTAGAAACGTTTTAAAAACAATCTAAAACTAATTTTAAACGCACCCAAAGGTTCTTGTTTTAGAGACAATTAACCATTGTGTTCATTTACTTAAGAATAAAGCTCAACGGTCATTGAGTTAATTCATTTACTTAAGAATTAAGTATTGGCATTAAACTCCTGTTAACTCTTAATTATCTGAAATGCAGGCCGTGTCCATGCCTTTGAAATAGCACATAATATGGACAAAAATTCGAGTGGACGGGGTGTTCGACAGTTCAAAACTTCTCTTCTTCAGCGGCTTGAACAGGTGATTATTGATAAATCACAATTGAATTTATTTATTTATTTGTTTTTGCAGTTTTTGTTTTTGACAATAAAAGAAACAATGAATTTCTGAAATTTAAAAGACGTAATCATATTCCTATGAGATGATAATAATTGATAATTTTACAAAAATATATAGTTACATTAAGTGCAAAATGTCTGAAATTTTCATAGGTTTTTTAACCGTATTAATGAAGATATGGTAGCTCAAGCTGATTCAAATGTGGATGACAGACTCACACACTCACGTACCTAGCCACTTGAGCAAGCCTCAAGTTGATATCTCTTTCTATAGTGGCAAAAATACTTCTTTTTCTAGCTGTGAATGGCCATGTCATTGTTGATTTTGATGAGCAATAGGATGAGGAACCTACATTCAGAAGACGGAAGGAGAAGAGCGACATACGCGAACTCAGACGCGTTTACCATGAGTACAAGGAATATATTGTTAAACATGGTAGAACATTTGCATTAGAAAGCAGGTAAGTAAGTCCCACCTCCTTTTTCCCAAATAAGCTATTCTAGTTCAAATCTGCATCATAAAGTTTTTCTGTAGATTACTTGTATTCTTTTCCAAGCAATTTGTTTTAACTGAATTAGTCATAGGCAGAAGTTGATAAATGCATGTGCAATTGCTTCCGTGTTGTTTGAAGTTCTCAAGAGAATAACATTTGCAGCCAATCCTCAGGTACTCTAATTTTCTTTTCATATATTTTTCTAATAATGAATGAAACAGTTAGCACATTTATAAATTACTAGATGATTGTTGTCTTACAAATTCTTTTTAATTCTCTTATAGGCTCTTGCCGACAGAGAAAGTGTGAACTCAAAATCTGAGTTCTTTGTGCCATATAACATTCTACCGCTCGATCATGGAGGCATTCAGCAAGCAATTATGCAATTGCCCGAGGTTTGATTCTGATTTGTGCAATCCAACTGTTTTCTTTCTGATGACAACTCTAATTCCAACTAAGGACTTAATACTTAAGTCTGCTAATACACTCGCAAAATGATCCAGGTCAAGGCTGCAGTTGCAGCTGTCCGCAATATTCGCGGTTTACCTTCTGCCGAAGATTTTCAGAAACACGGGGCTTTCACTGATTTGTTTGATTTTCTTCAGTATTGTTTCGGATTTCAGGTACTTCCAAATTCTGCTTATTTCCTTCTTATCTTTATATGTTTTAGGATTTTCTTTCTTAGTATTTATATATATTATGTGTTTTTAACCTGCAGGAAGGGAATGTAGCCAACCAGAGGGAACATCTAATTCTACTCCTTGCAAACACTCACATCAGGAAAGCTCATAAGCAGACATCGAGCTCAAAGGTAGTTTAATTATTGAGATTGTAAACTTTTTTTTTTTTTTTTTGGTTCAATTATTAATATTTTAACTTAGAAGCACTTTTTCACTTCAGATAGAAGATGTTGTGGTGGATGAACTAATGAAGAAGTTTTTTAAAAATTATACAAATTGGTGCAAATTCTTGGGGAGAAAAAGCAACATCCGGTATGATTACAGTACAATTTATATTCTCATTTTTACATAATTTTCTAATATTATCACCCTTCTTGTTAGTTGTGACTGCATCAACATTGTTTTACCCTTACAATAGTTATATATATATATATACATATATATATATATTATTGGTTTGTGTAGGTTGCCTTATGTGAAACAGGAGGCTCTTCAATACAAACTTTTATATCTAGCGCTTCACCTACTTATCTGGGGGGAGGCTGCAAACTTAAGATTCATGCCAGAGTGTTTATGTTATATTTTTCATGAGGTAAGCCGATTCTCTATCTTAGGAACTACTTGTCCCCTTTTCTCTGTTTTCATTCCTATTACTTCAGCAACGTGCTATGCATGTGTGTACGTTTAATCTCGCGTCAAAACACGTGACTTCTTTAAAAACTAACTCTATTAATTATAGTAAGAAGAAAAAAAATATTGCAAAAAATCACATAAAAAAAATAAAATTATACGAGAGTTTTTTTTAAAAAAAAAAAAATTAAGTATAGAGATATTTAAAAGGAATTATTTTAATTAAAAGAAAATGAGAAAAAGAAAATACTTTAAAAAATGATATTATATATATAAAAAAAGAACTGAAAGAATATTAGGGAAAAAAAAGAAGAAAAAAATTTTAAAAAGCTTAAAAAAGAAAAGAAGAAAATATAAAAAGAACTTTATAGGTGTTTTAAGCAAAATTAAAAAATTAAAAAGCAAGAAACTTAAGAATAAGAAAAAGTAAAAAGAAAAAAATTAAAAAGAAAAGAAAAATCAGTGTTAGCCTTCAATGGATTTGACTCGTCTTTCTTCTAAACTCATTAAGAAGTCATGTCCTTCTTGTAGTGACTTGGATACAAGTAGAATATGCGTAGATTGTGGTTTATGACTAATAAGTTTTTCCTTATTTTGTTTAAGATGGCTTGGGAATTGCATGGTATGTTAACTGGGGCTGTGAACCCAACAACATGGGAGAAAGTCATGCCAGCGTATGGCGGAGGATCGGAGTCCTTTCTTAACAATGTAGTTACTCCCATATACAAAGTAATAAAAGAGGTATTTCCCAATTCCGAATTTGTGTTTTTAGCTCTTCCTTTCTAGTAGTCGCTAATTTTTTTGTTATAATTTCTAGGAAGCTAACAAAAGTAAAAATGGCACAACCGATCATTCGACCTGGAGAAACTATGATGATCTCAATGAGTTCTTCTGGTTTGTAGGAATTTGTGTCCCACATTTTTTCTATCTTCTAAATTTTGCCTATTTTGGTTTCTCATAAGTTACAATGAGGTTGTAACAACCGTGAATTCTTTTGCAGGTCTCCTGATTGTTTCCAAATAGGTTGGCCCATGCGTGAAGACCACAATTTTTTCTGTGTAAACCCTTCAAGTAAACCCAAAGCTAAGAAAGCTTCAAAATCAACTAATGCTGAAGAAAAAAGGGAGCTGAAAGAAGAGGAAAAAGATGAAGAATTAGGGGTACAACGCATATTTTATTATATTACTTACACAAGAACTTTACTCAAGATTGCATATTGGTATAAACTAAAAGAGCTATCTAGTACTTGATCTCTCAATATTAAATATAAAACAAGGTTTCACTAATAAATTGGAGGTTTAGGGTAAAGTTAGCCATTGCATATCCATCATAGACTAGAGAGGAAATCTAAACACTATATTGTATACTTTTATTTGAAGTTATCTATATTTGGCATAAACTTTAGTTATTTACATTGACACATGGTGTTTTGCCTAAATTGCAAACATTGACCGATATATTTTAGGTTATCACCCTCATTTTCAGAAAAATTACATAGACACCCACTCGTTAGTCAAACCTGATGAAGAAGTATAGTCTGACTGTTAAATGTTGCCTAAATAGCAAAAATATCCCTCATTGCATCAGATAATGATCACAACTGCATTTACGGCACGATTTTTCCCTTATTTAGTCAACAAAAATGAGGTTATTTCATCTTTTCACCCTCAGAACTATAATTTGCATTCCAATGGTCTATGTTTTTGACATTCCTGTACGATTGAAGTACTGATTTTCTGATATATATTATACACATTGACATGTGGTTCCTCTTCATATTTCATACCCCTTACATATCTTTATATTCTTACAGACTAATAGAGAGGGAGATCAAGAACAAAAGCATGAACAAGAATGGTTAGGGAAATCAAATTTTGTCGAGATCCGGTCCTTTTGGCAGATATTTAGGAGCTTTGACAGAATGTGGATCTTCTTTATTTTATCCCTTCAGGTGCACCTATAAATTGACATAACAGAATGGTTTTTTTTGTGGAACTTAATATTTACTTTTTTTTTTCCTCTTTTTTTTCACATTATAGGCCATGATTATTATGGCATGCTATGAATTGGAATCTCCACTTCAGTTGTTTGACAAAGCAGTGTTTGAGGATGTTTTGAGCATCTTCATCACATCTTCAATCCTTAAACTCATACAAGGTATCATGTTTGTCACTATGTTTGCAATAGGAATATGCCATGCTTTTATCCTATGTTAATCTGAATAGTGACACTGGAAAAGAATAACATTCACACCTTTTATTGGAAAATTCCTATAGCTTTCATACACTCTTGGTCTAAATGCAGCAATACTGGACATAGTTTTTACATGGAAAGCCAGGCAAACCATGGAATATTCCAACAAAATACGACAAGTGGTGAGGTTGGTTTTTGCAGCGATATGGACAATCATTCTTCCAACATGCTATGCTCACTCTAGAAGAAAATACACTTGTTTTTCCTCACAATCTGGAAGCTGGCTTGAAGAGTGGTGTCTTTCTCCCTATATGGTTGCAGTTGGAGTTTATCTGACGCCTAGTGCAATCGACATGGTGCTATTCTTTGTTCCCGCTGTTAGAAAGTATATTGAGATATCAAATTCCAAAATATTCACTATTTTCTCTTGGACACAGGTAAGTTAATCATAAAGCAAATCTTTCTTTTATTCTTTGCGTTTTGTATGATTTGCCATTAAGATTTTGGCTTTAATCTGTGTAATTATTCCTTGAAATATTTGTTCTTATCACATAGCCTAGATTATACCTCGGAAGAGGGATGCAAGAAAGCCAGGTCTCAGTGCTGAAGTAATTCTCATTTCACTCTTCTAAATCAGGTGTTGGTTGATCTCAAGTCTAGTCTAGTATTTTTCCCCTTATGAACATCACTTTGCTAACCTTGTAGGTATATGTTATTTTGGATACTGGTGTTATTGAGCAAATTCTGTTTCAGCTATTGGTTTGAGGTGAGTTTTGATATAACTACATTGTAACATGATATTATGAAGCGAAATGAATATTTCTTAAATAATTTAGCAACATTCTTTTTTTTTTTTTTTTTATGTTTCCATAGCCTATTTCTTTTGCCCTTTTTATTTTTTTGATAAGAAAACGAAACTTGACTTTTTGGTTGTTCTACTAACTAACTTTGAAGTTGAACATCTATGAAGTCATAGCATAACTAATTACATTTGTGCTGCTTTCCCCTCAGAAACAAAGAGCATTCAACGAAAAAAAGTCAAAGGCCAAACATATAAGAGGTTCTATACAAGTTAGGAAAAGATGTAGAAGAAGATAACTATCTTAATTTCACAACTATTGGTTGAAAATAAAGAACAGCATTAGCAAGCTTACACCTTAAGCTTTAGAGAATTTGTAAACTAATACCAGAGCAAGTGGTGTTCAATTCAAGCCCTTGTGAGCGCATTCCATAATTTGTCGCCATAGATAGGCCTTTATTTTATTTTCTTTTCTTTGAAATCTTGGACCAATTTCGGGCATTTGCTTGGATTTGTCTCCCTTTGTAATTGTCTCAGCCAAAATGTGACAGTTGGTTCACCTCGTATCAGTAAATTATGTTTTTGAGAGAATTGGTAAATTAACCGTAATATCCAATGATCTTGAGTTTCCAGCATCACTAGTGATTGTCTTTATTATGGTTAAATATGTGAACATGAAAGCATACTTACTATGTAATGTGACCAACGGAGTGATGCAGATAAAACCGCTTATAGAACCAACAAAGCAGATCATGAAAATCGGAGTTGAAAATTATGATTGGCATGAGCTTTTCCCAAAATGTATTCTCTATCCATTTATTTTTAACTTTTGGTTAAAAAATCTCGTTAGAAGGCTCTTATAGTTAATATTTCTAACAAATAAACTGCTTCTGTTTCAGTCAAGAGTAATGCTGGTGCAATTGTTGCCGTATGGGCTCCAATAGTAGTTGTGAGTTTTGTTTGTCTACTTATATTTAGATAATCCCTTTTGGAATTTCAATCTTCAGAATAATATCTGAAATGATGAAGTAATAATGAAGCTAGAAGCTTAGAGTAAACAATGTTTTCTCATTTTTTGTCTATTACAGGTGTATTTTATGGACACACAGATATGGTATTCGGTTTTCTGTACAATATTTGGAGGACTTTATGGTATTTTGCATCACCTTGGTGAGGTAAGCTTTTCCTATTTTTTTTTATTTTTTATTTTTTCTTATCACTGTGTACAATGACAGTGGTCTTACAATGATATGTCACAGATTCGGACGCTAGGAATGTTGAGAAGTCGATTCCATACCTTGCCTTCTGCATTCAATGGTTGTCTCATTCCTCCATCAAAAAATGATCAAAAGAGAGGAAAAGGTTTATTTGGCAATAGATTTCACAAGGTATGCAATGTTTAAATTTTTCCATTTTTATTATCAATTTTCTGAGGAGTTATTCTTTCAAAAAAAATATATGTATATTCAGTTTTCTGTGAGGAATTATCACTTTTGTCCCTGCACCAACCTTTCTCAGGGGCCAGAAAATGAGAAAAATGGTGTTGCCAAGTTTGTGCTTGTGTGGAACCAGATCATAAGCAGTATTCGTTCAGAGGATTTGATTAGCAACAAGTGAGCTATTAGTTTCTTAATAAAGTGTTATTTGTGACAATTCTCTGATAAGTACCTGATAGAAACCTACTTCCTATCAATAGGGAGGTGGATTTGATGATAATACCTATGTTAACTGATTTATTTGCTGGCATTGTTCGTTGGCCGATTTTCCTTATAGCAAATAAGGTAATTTCCGTAATGAGTAGTGCTACGTGTCCCGACTTTCATTCCCAACTTTTTGATGCCAACTCAATGGTGATGAAATGTCATATTTAATTCATGTGATAATTTTTTTTTAAAACCTGTTAATAAAAGAATGATAACTTATGTCGCATAACTTTGTATTGAAAAGATGGGATGAAAGTTGGGATCCCTAGCATTATTCTTCTATAAATGAAATTAAAAGATCTTTTTTTATTTAATGTCGCATAACTTTGTATTGAAAAGATGGGATGAAAGTTGGGATCCCTATAGCATTATTCTTCTATAAATGAAATTAAAAGATCTTTTTTTATTTTTTTTTATTTTTTATTTTTTGTCTTTTTGCATTTCATATTAGAACGTATCTTCTTATTGGTACTAGTTTTCGACGGCGTTGAGCATCACAAAGGATTTTGTGGGGAAGGATGAAACTCTTGTCAGAAAGATCAAAAAAGATAAATGCATGTACTATGCTGTAAAGGAATGTTATGAGTCACTCAAGTACATTCTTGAAATTCTAATTGTGAGAGATCTGGAAAAGAGGTAAAATTTCTCATTCTAATTTGATTAGTTGTATTTTTTTTTTTTTTTGGTATGCAAATTTACCTGTACATGAGAATCCCTAGTTGCTTATCAACTTTTGTTGTCTCCTTTGTTCTTTTGGATCCATGGTTGCTTTTATAGGATGATATCTACTATATTAAATGAAATCGAAGAAAGCATGGCAAGATCAAGTCTCCTTGAGGACTTTAGGATGACTGAACTCCCAAATCTACAAGCTAAATTTGTTGAGTTACTTGAGCTTCTGGTAAGAATCTTCTACAAAGTTACTATAGGGATTAGAACTACTAAAGTCCAAGTCTTACTAACTTGCATTATCACATGTTGCAAGGTTGAAGGAAATGTAGATCATTATGGTAAAGTTGTGAAAGTCCTTCAAGACATATTTGAGATTATAACAAATGATATGATGATAGACAGTTCGAGGTAATTTGGTGCGCCTGGGATTTATGTTCCTTGTGAGATCAGTTTCGATATGTTTTATGGATATACGACATTTTATGTTCAAATCATACAGGATATTGGAATTGCTGTGCCATTCACAGCGGATGGAAAGTAATGAACCTTATTTTACTAGAACTATTGAACCACAACTATTTGAGTCAGATTGTGGGGAGAACTCTATTCATTTTCCTTTGCCTGACAGTGCCCCACTGACTGAACAGGTGATTTTCACATTTCCTATTGGGGGGTGTATGCATAAATGGAAAAAATCTCAAACCCTCTTTAGATTTTTTTTTTTTTTTTTTTGGCCCGGGTATATAATTAGTTTACTTTCAGGAAATCATTGATTTACTCTTCACAAAGCAGTCATTGTACCAAATCATGTTTATTTTTTATTATTATATTTTTATTTGGCTTGCAATATAAAAGGAAGTTACCTTTATTGTAACTTTTAACAAAAACACATGCAAATGAACCAACTTTTCATGCATATTAACAAAGGATAAAGTTAAAAAGAAGTAAAGAAACAGATGATTGCAGGAAAACGCCTGCGGTAGCATGTAAACATCAAAAAGTTAGTGACTAAACTGTTCTGCTACAGATCAAGCGTCTTCTTTTGTTGCTCACCATCAAAGATACAGCTTTGGACATACCTACTAACTTAGACGCACGAAGGCGCATATCGTTCTTTGCTACTTCTCTGTTCATGACAATGCCTAGTGCTCCGAAAGTGCGCAATATGCTATCATTCAGGTGATATTTTCTTGTTAATCTGCATCCCTTCTTTCACAAACTAGTATTTAAACTCATCTCTCTCTTCTATTTCCTTTGTTGTCATACACAAGTCTGCAACTCGTGAAGGACCTATACAAAGGGATCATGGCAAAATAACAAGAAACAGAACTAGAAAGTTTTAACAAATTGTGATGATATCTCACAAAGTTATTATCCTAAAGAGCTTAAGCTGAACGAAAATAACAAGAAACAGAACTGAGATAAAAATGCAAATATAACATGAGATTACTTGCAGGGAAAGGGACTGCCGAATCTAATGACTTTACAAGCTATGGATTTTCCTCCAGTGACTACTTGACAGGAAACGAGCTATCAACATATATCAAGCTTCATACACAATAAAAGTATCAAAAAATTTTATTGCTTTTATCCCATGAAGCTTAACTGAGCCCAGTTGCAAGTTGTCCCTAAGCTTTTAATTGTGGCAAATTACTGCCAAAATTAAGTTAAACATTGCAAATTGTCCTCTAAGAGATGACTAATGTTAAAATTTGGAAGGAAGCGCTCTTATGATCTTTAAATAATGTGCTCCAGTAATCATCAGAAATTTTGTCTTAGGAAATAACTTGCCAATTGTGAAACGTTCGGGGGCAATATATGCCAAATACCCAACATTTTACTGTTTCTCATTTTTGTCTCATTTTGTTTATTTCAATGTTTTCCTTCCTTGTTATAGGACTTTTTTCATTTCCCTCTTTCAAAGGAATCCCTTGTCAAAAAATAAATAAATAAATAAAAGTTTCTCCTTTTTGCTTACTCAAGAAAAAAGATTTTTCATATTTAGACAATTTTTTTATCTCTAAAACTTAACTTGACACATTAAATTGTTCTTGATGCAGTGTTCTAACTCCTCATTATATGGAAGATGTTAACTTCTCAATGAAGGAGCTCCATTCAAGTCAACGAGAGGTTTCTATTATATTCTACATGCAAAAAATATTTCCAGGTTGCTACTAAGCTAACCTTTGTCATAGTAATCTTATATCTTTCCACTTAATGAAACTCATAGCATGTAAATTATATGTTTACTCTATTTAGATGAATGGAAAAACTTTTTGGAACGGATGGGTTGTGCAAGTTTGGATGGACTGAAAGATGAAGGAAAGGAAGAAGATCTTAGAAAGTGGGCTTCCTTCCGGGGCCAAACACTGAGCAGAACAGGTGAAGAAGATAGAATTTGGAATGTTTACGAGATTCGATATAACTATGTCAAATGTAACATCTTTTTTTTGGGTATAATAGTTAGAGGAATGATGTACTATAGAGAAGCATTAAAACTTCAAGCTTTCCTTGACATGGCTGAAGATGAAGGTTTGTAATTCATAAAACTGTTTTTCTTTCTTGTTTAGCTATGCAAGAAGATATATGGTTTTACTAATTTCTGTGTCGAATCTGGATGTTTCGGCCAGATATTCTTGAAGGTTATGACACGGCTGAAAGAGAAAACCACTTGCTAGCTGCTCAGCTAGATGCTTTAGCAGACTTGAAATTTACATATGTGGTTTCTTGTCAAAGATTTGGATCACAAAAAGCCGCTGGAGATCCGCGTGCACAAGACATAATTGACTTGATGATAAGGTAATGCACTACCATGAGGAAAATACTTTTGAAGAAGTTATTTATTTATTTATTTTGTTAAAAGAGTTTTGAAGACGTATTTATGTAATAAGAGAAATTGCTGAGGACACGTGACTCTTGTCCGTTAAACAAAGGTATCCAGCTCTCCGACTTGCGTATGTTGAGGAGAAAGAAGTGATTGTGGAAAATAAGCCTCAAAAGGTCTACTCTTCTGTCTTGCTTAAAGCTGTCAATGGTTTTGACCAGGTAGTGTACTCTATTTTATGTTACATTGTGCTAAACAGAAGTATCAATCTTAAATTAATTGGCTTTGGCAGTTCCACACTGTAGATGACTAGCCTATGTTGTACTTTTTCAAAATCCATTTCTAATTAGACAAATATTATGTCAGCTAGTAACTTATTCTGACGAGTGTTGCATTTGTAAAACCTAATTGTCACTATGATGCAAAGTTAGTATGCGGATTGACCTTTGATTATAGTAGGGTTATATTCACACATTATTGAAGGCATCCTGATTATAAATATATCAGGGCGCGGTTTTGTGAATTAGATGAGATAGAAATACGGTCAATCTGTGAGATGTGTGGTGTGTGATTCGCTTGTAATCGTCTTTGCCGAGGTGAAAACCCGTAGTTGCTGAAAGTGGACATGACTCTCACATTAAGGATGAAGTACTATAATTTTTTGTGTGTGCTTACCGGCCTTCCTTTTGTATTATTGCTCTCTTTTTTTAGGGGTGAATTAGCACTCTCATCTAGAAAAGGATTAGCGAGTTTAATCCGTAAAAACAGTGTTTCAAACGATAAGATTAGCAAAAAGATTGAGGTCAAATGTGTTACAATCATAAAATAAAGTTGTGATTAGGAGACTGTTTTGCATAAGTTATAGCTCTAATTAATTACTCTCACATCATTCTTAATCTGATTGCTTCAACAAGATTATGCATCATACAAGATTATAGAAAAAGAATGTTATCTTTTTAAATTCCTAAATTATACAATTCTTCTTTATGTTAATTTTATTGACTTAGTACCCCATTTTCTGCCATAATCTTTCTTTCATAAATAAGGAGTAGGAAAGGTATTTAGTTCATTGTAATATTGTCATGTAGGAAATATATCGTGTAAAGCTTCCTGGCCCACCTGAAATTGGAGAAGGAAAACCTGAAAATCAAAATCATGCCATTATCTTTACTCGTGGTGAAGCTTTGCAGACGATTGATATGAATCAAGTATGCTCATTCCTCAATTAGTTAAAAGGTTAATAGTTTTCTTATTCATGGTTCTTATCATGGTGTCTTGTTTTGCAGGATAGCTACTTGGAAGAAGCATTCAAAATGAGAAACCTTCTACAAGAATTTCTTAAGTGCCAAGGACGGCGACCGCCGACTATACTTGGTCTGAGGGAACACATTTTTACAGAAAGGTCAGATCCTCTGAAACAATTAAAAGTTTCTAAGGCTATTGATTCTGAACTTTTTAAAAAGCGTCAGTTTGGTCCTCGAACTTGTTTTGTGTTTGATTAGTCCCTCAACTTAAGAAACCTGTTCTTTAGCAAGTTGGATCCTGGCAATAAAATTAACAAATTATTGAAATTTCATGGATATAGCAGCATGCCTATATTGTAAAAGCTTGAAATTTTACCCAACAAAAAGAAATACATACCTACAAAATTGATTTTCAAATGTTACGTTTTCCTCGTTATATGATTTCTGTTGTAAAATTTAATTAATCACGCAATAGACATGCGATTAGCTTCATTAAATATTAAAAATCCATTGACAATTTTATGGCCAGGGGCCAAAGTTGCCAAAAAGATAGACTTCAAGGATTAGTTGGCCAAAAAAATAGTTTAGGGCCAAATTGTCATAATATTAATAATTTTGGGGCTGACAATGACAAAAACCCAACAATGAATTAAAATTATTAGTTTCATGAGCTTTAGTCAGTGATCAATCGTTTATTATAGTGGTTTTTTAGTCAGTGATCAATCTTTTTTTTTTGTGTTTTTTTTTTTTTTTTTTTTTTTTTTTTTTTGAGAATAAGATAGTGGTAATTAATCCCAATGCACATGTGAGTAACTTGGACCCTGTACAGTGATAGGCTTAGAAAAACTAAATTAACTGGCTAACAAGTTCTTGGTGTTAAAAAAAAAGCTTTGCAAAGTCTGATTTCCCATTTGAAAACTTTTCGGAGGGAATTCTTGCAACCATATTCGGATCTTCCACCTAGATATTCATATAAATTTTAGCTTGGTCCTCCAAATAAATCATATATCAGTTATTTGAAATATTTTTGACCATACAGGCTGATCTTTTGGTTTCTCTCAAATGCAGTGTTTCTTCGCTAGCCTGGTTCATGTCATATCAAGAGACTAGCTTTGTCACCATTGGTCAAAGACTTCTTGCTAAACCTCTCAGGTAACAACTCCTTGTTTCCATGAAGTCATTTTCAGAAAACTTATGTGCACTTATTAAGTACCTGTCATCAAGTTTAAAACTTTTTTTTTTCTCTAGCCTCACTTAAGTTCTCCAACTCTGATTATTTAAGATCTTAGTTACATATTTGGCTATGAATTTAAGTCTTATTATGTCTTGAAAAATCCTAGCAATCATTTTTTTTTGTACTCTGACGTGTTCATTTAATTCCTATTATTCAATCTTACATCCAGGGTACGGTTTCACTATGGACATCCAGACATCTTTGACAGGATATTTCACATCACAAGAGGTGGCATAAGCAAAGCATCAAAAACAATCAACCTGAGTGAGGATATTTTCGCAGGTAGGAAGTAGCTACTGACCTTTTTTTAAATAAAAAAAAAAAAGTCCCTACATTCCAGGATATTAACAACTGCATACATATGATTTTATGCAGGATTTAATTCGACTCTGAGAAGGGGGTGTATCACATACCATGAGTACATGCAAGTTGGCAAAGGCCGCGACGTAGGTTTAAATCAGATCTCAAAGTTTGAAGCTAAGGTGGCTAATGGGAATAGTGAACAAACTTTAAGCCGTGACATATACCGCCTTGGTTGTCAATTCGATTTCTTCCGAATGCTGTCTTGCTATTTCACAACAATTGGATTTTATTTCAGCAGCCTGGTATTTTATCCTTTGCCAATCTACATATAAAAAATGATTCTTTATGTTTTGTCCGTAGACTGATTAACCGATTTTTGTGACTGCACAGATTTCAATAATTGGAATCTATATCTTCCTTTATGGGCAGCTATATCTTGTTCTTAGTGGGCTGCAAAAAGCATTGCTTATTGAGGCTAGAGTCCAGAACCTAGAATCCTTGGAAACAGCTCTTGCATCGCAGTCGTTTATACAGCTTGGCCTCCTCACAGGCTTGCCAATGGTTATGGAGATTGGACTAGAGAAAGGATTCCTAACAGCTCTAAAGGATTTTGTCCTCATGCAACTGCAGCTGGCTGCTGTCTTCTTCACTTTCTCCTTTGGCACAAAAACTCATCATTACGGCCGTACACTTCTCCATGGGGGTGCTAAATATCGCCCCACCGGGAGAAAAGTTGTGGTGTTCCACACAAGCTTCACTGAGAATTACAGACTCTACTCAAGAAGCCACTTTGTTAAGGGATTTGAGTTGTTGCTCCTCTTGATTGTTTACGACTTGTTTCGGCGGTCCTATGAGAGCAGCATGGCTTATGTACTAATCACATACTCGGTCTGGTTCATGTCAATCACGTGGTTGTTTGCGCCGTTTCTTTTCAATCCTTCTGGATTCAGCTGGGGCAAGATTGTGGATGATTGGAAGGATTGGAACAAGTGGATAAGGCAGCAAGGTGGCATAGGGATTCAACAAGACAAAAGCTGGCATTCTTGGTGGAATGATGAACAAGCTCATCTTCGTCATTCGGGGATATTTTCAAGGCTGTTTGAAATACTCCTTTCTCTCAGGTTTTTCATGTATCAATATGGTCTGGTCTATCACCTCGACATCTCCCAACATAGCAAAAATGTCCTGGTCTATGTGCTCTCGTGGATTGTGATTCTTGTCGTTTTCTTCTTTGCCAAGGTAAATTCACAGTCTACCATTTTTCAATCTGACTATGGTTAGACACTTAAAACCAATCTCTTTCTTGAGCTTGACATGTTGCATATGAATTTTGGCATTAAATAACACAAGTCAAAAACTCTAAATTTGAATCATCCAGTTGGAATCACTTCTTATCTAAGCTGTATACATATAACATAGCAACTCCCTATCAAATCAGCACTTATTTCGCATGTCATATAAGTATACAGGATTTTACTTGTTTTCATATCTCAGTTTATGCTTTTTTTTTTTTTTTGAAGAGTTTTATGCTATTTGTTATAATAAGATTATCTCAACATGCTATGCAGGCAGTGAACATTGGAAGACAAAAATTGAGTGCCAATTATCAACTTTTGTTTAGGCTGTTCAAAGCAATCCTCTTCATTACCGTTTTGGCAATCATAATCACTCTTTCTCGGATCTGCCAACTGTCTTTAAGGGACTTAATAGTCTGCTGTCTAGCATTTCTGCCAACTGGATGGGGTTTGATCATGGTAAGTAATTCTTTTAGAATTCCTTTGGTATATTGTTGAAAAATTTGTGTTACTGTATGTTCTTGCGACTAAAACAAGTAATTAAAATTTGTGTACAGGGCAAAATACAATTTTAAGATTTTAATTCTTGGTTGGTACAGTGTCAAAAGTCTTGTTTTGGTCCATTGACTTTGAAATCAACAGCACGAGTATCCCCTCAAAAAAAAAAAAAGCAATTGACTTTGAAATCAAGAGCACGAGTATCCCTTCAAAAAAAAAAAAAAAGCACGAGTGTCCAAAGTTACTAAAAAGTTCGCAGCTTTTAGAGATTTTTGATAGTATCTAAAAGGGATTTAAATAAGAGTTCTATTAATATTTAGGAAGTAATTATATAATTAATCGTAACCATTATCGTAGGATTTGTCTTCTGTCCTTTGTAAAAGACCGGCCTTATATTATGACATGAAAAGGTAGGAGGTGTAATATGACAATTATTTTATACAACAATGACTTTAAAAATGTGCAACATTGGTTTGCAACAGGCAGATTCTTTGTTGTTATACCTTTATAAATTCATTTTTACGGAGAATAAATGTCGTGTTACAGCTATAACATGACATTTATTCATTTATTCTATGTGACAATGACTTTAAAAAGGTGCAATATTGGTTTGCAACAGACAGATCCTTTGTTAGTTAAACCTTTATAAATTCATTCTTACAGAAAATAAATGTCGTGTTACACCATGTACTTACATGTAAAAGTGACCCTTCCTTAACCACTTAAGTCTTTCTCTATAGCTAGTCATATGTCAAATTATATATTGGGCTTCACTTTTATCTTGATTGTTTTCCCAAATGTTTTTTTTTCCAAATTTTTTTTTTTTTTTTTTTTTTTTTTTTTTTTTTTTTTTTTGGGGTTGGTTTCAGATTGCACAAGCTGTGAGGCCAAAGATAGAAGACACTGGACTTTGGGACTTCACCAGGGTGCTTGCTAAAGCCTATGATTATGGAATGGGTGTTGTCCTTTTTGCTCCAATAGCTATTTTGGCATGGCTTCCAATTATATCAGCCTTTCAAACTCGTTTCCTATTCAATGAAGCTTTCAATAGGCATTTGCAAATCCAACCAATTCTTGCCGGGAAAAGAAAACAAAAATAGTTTTTTCTACAATATTACACGTAATATATCATCTACAGTGAAGACTTTTTTTTATACCCTTCACTTTCATACAATTTTGTAAAGTGTTACATGTATTGAGGTGATACCAAAGTTGTATAGAATATAGAAACATTAAACCAAATATTTGTTGACTTACAGTCTCATAATGAGCAAGATAGAAATATTATGCAGATGATTTGCGTTCATTTTTTTAACTTATTTCTTATCAGTAGGTACTTTTGGTTTAGTCATTGATTAATTTATTAATGGTTTGATTTATGAACGGAAACAGTTTTTATATTTCATACTGTAAAATTATTTTGACTCATATATTAGCAGTTGAAAAATTAATTCAACGTTTAAAAGAAAAGTTTCTTTTGGTGGTGAGAAAATGGCGGGTTGGTACAAAAGAAACTTCCAAAGGAAATTCACCAAATCACACGTGGCGCAACACGAACCAAAGAAATACTTTTAAAAACCACCTAAAAAAAGGCTTCTTTTATGGTTCATTTCAAAATTAGTACCTCAAAATTATTACCACCGGTAGAGTAAGTATTTTTATTGTTAGATTAATTTTTTGGCGATTAGATTTGTAATAGGAGTAATTTTATGTGACGCGCTATATATTTTTAATACGAATATGTATAAATTTAACGGTTAAACTTTTAATCCAATAGTCAAAAATATTTTGCTCTATCGGTGGGTCATAAATCAGACATGCACCGTAAAATTTCTTCTAAAAAAAGTTAAAGGTCACTTTTTTTGCCAAGGAAAATGTTAAAGAACACTCATATTAAAATAACTCCAGTGACCGAATTTCGGTGTCGCCGTATTATTGGACATGTTTACATGCGCATAATCTGAATGGAAATGAATAGAGTGGACGTAATTTGAAGTTGATAGAATTTAGAGAGAGAAATTAGAGTCAGAATAAATTATTTACTTGGTGATGGGATTTGAAATCATAAACTTTCTAAATCACATTCATATATTTATTTACACATAATGTTTTGAAATAAGCTAATTATAAAAGTACTAATATACCATTTAAGTAAATTTTATATATTTGACTAACAATAAATTATGCTACTTGTTATCTTAATATTTCTCACAAGTAATATATTTATTATTAATTATGACATTGTATTAGTATTAATCATACGTAAAATATCTTCAAAAGATATATCTATTATCTCAAAATATATATTTATTTTTTCATAGTTGAGTTTTGGATGCATTTTAGTCCCACAGTTGGACACCAGATACAGCTAACAACTTAACAAGCCTACGTCCAATTATCACAAACCTTTTAGCACCAGAGATATCAAACGCAATTGATCTATGAGAAAAGTGAAAGAGACAAGAAAATAGGCATGATTTCAACTTCAACTTCATTTCTCTCCAAATCTTTCGCCACCAAAATCACCAACGCAAAGCCGAACGCCTCAGTCCTCCACTTTGTTCTCTCTCTCTCCTCAATCCCTTCTTCTTCATCATCATCTTCTTCTTCCGAAATCCCTTCCAGACTCCACCACAAGGACTGGTTAGCACCAAAGGAAGTCCTCCAAGTCTTCTCATCCCTCACAAACCCCAACTCCATCGTCCCGGCCTTAAACCACTACTCCAAACGCAAGGACTACAAACCCAATGAGCCTCTCCTCACTCTCATTATCAACAACCTCGCCGAAGCCCGTTTGTTCGACGACGTCGAGGTTGTCGTCGCCAGAATCAAGGCCGAGAGGAACTGCAATCTCTCCGACGACTTCTTCCGCAATGTCATCAGAGTTTATGGGAATCTGGCCGGTCGGATCAAGAGGGCCATCGAGATTCTCTTCGAAATGCCGGAGTTTTACGGTTGCTGGCCCACCGCGAAAACGTTTAATTCCGTGCTGAATTTGCTCGTCTCCGCCAGACTGTTCGATGTCGTTCACGAGCTGTTTGTGGCTGCTCCTAAGTTGGGTGTTGTGATAGATGCTTGTTGTCTTAATATAATGATTAAGGGGCTTTGTGAATGTCGAAAGTTGGAGGTTGCGCTCCAAATGCTCGATGAATTTCCCCGACAGGGATGCGAGCCGAATCTGTTGACTTTTACGACGCTTATGCATTATTTGTGTGTTCACGGGAAGGTTGAGGAGGCTATTAAGTTGTTTGAGAGGATGGAAGAGGAGGGTATCGAACCGGACACGATCACGTTCAATGTGTTGATTGCAGGGCTTCGGAGACAGGGGCGGGTTGATGAGGGAATGGTGCTTCTGCAGAGGATGAAACTCAAGGGGTGCAATCCGAATGTGGGATCTTATCAGGAGGTTTTTAATGGTTTGCTTGATGCGGAGAGGTTTTCCGAGGCAAACGAGGTCATGAGTCGGATAATCTCGATGGGATCAAGCCCGAGTATTAAGTCTTTCAAGTGTTTGATTCATGGATTGTGTGAAGAAAATCGAATGGAAGATATTGATTGGGCTTTGAAGCAGATGGGAAAGCAAGGTTTTGTGCCTAAAATGTGGATGTGGAAGGAGATTCTTCAGAGCCTGTTTGGTGGAAAGACTAGTGATAAATGTGTTTCTTATTTTGAACAAGTAAAAGCCAATTAGAATACTTGAAATAGGACTCACATCTCCTCTTCAATTTTGGTGTCTCAAACGGCGTCTTTCTAACCGACCACATACTTTCGTGAAAATGCTTTTTAATTGACTTTTACGTGTTTTTCTATCTGAATTTACTAAATGATATAGCATAATGTTATTAGTCAGCCGTCATTTTGAACACAAAAAAAGTGAACAGATGATATGAATCCTTTGAACTGATCGTCCATGTGCTGGTGCTGGTGCTGGAAAACGATGATGGTTGGCCATGCACTGATTCTAACTTGATGCCACAAAGATGAGTAATAACCATTTATAGATATTGTGGACAATCTTGTCAAGAATATGACCAGAGAGAACTTATGAGGGCATGTGTTTTACTCCACGCTTTAGACATTTCCTTGGTTTTAAATGATCTGCTGGTACTCGCAGTTCATGTGCAAGAGCGTCATTTTGTCCTTCGATAAGTTAACAAAATGAACAAACAGTAATATGACCATATGGAAAAATACGGGTAATGAAACTAATGGCTGATTGGCACTGCAGATTTCATTGATATTCATAGGCTCATGTACAAAGAATCAATGATGCCTGCAACTGGCATAACAGAATGGTGTATTGGAGATGCAAAAATCTTAGACAACATCTGTATTGGGATCTGTGAATTCCATAACGAAAATGTTCCTCTCTTTACAGGATAGAACTTCAATATCATTGTATTAGCAAGTAGCATCTTTACAGGATAGAAATTCATACGGCTCAATAGTCCCCATCCTTTGGTTCTAAAACTAGTTTTCAGATGCTCTTTTAAGAAAGTGATTACGCGTAAATTGCAACTATTTCCAATTACATTCCAATCAAACTCAAAATACCTTGTTCATCTGAACTTTTAGCTATACAAGTGAATACTATGAAGGCAAATGAAATTTTTAACGTTTCAGAGAGCAACTTTATAGTCTAGTAACCAGTAATTTTCGATTTTTCTCATCTCAAATTTAATTTATAAGGGGGGGAAAACAAGAAGAAGCATGCTTTCTAATAGAATTTCGCAATGTGACTCAAAACTCGCCCACAAGATTCAAAATGGAATTTCAAAACTTTCACTTTGAACTATAAAAAATATTCACAAAGAAAGCATACAAGTACAACACTATACCAAGTTCCAAAATATGCACAGAATAAAAACAGAATACACCAACATCAAATTCATACCCTGACATTGGAGTATTATGTGGATTTGAAAAACAGTTGCGAAAAAAATTGTCCATCAAACCTGAAATCTAAGGACCGATTCAAGTAGATGTACAAGCAAAGCTAAGGACCGATTTGAGTATATATACAAGCAAATAATAGCGTATGGCATGGACCGAACTTTTGAATCTTCAAACAAGTTGTAAAAATCCATCCATGATAAGGATACCACAAGCTAGTTATTTTTTTATTTTCTTTTTGTAACAAGAAATTTTTAATTGGTTGGTCCTTCCAAATCCCCTCCTTCATCAAGCTTCATCTTCGGGGACTCAACATCACTCTTATTAACAGGGCTACCCTCCTTGTCATGCAACATTTCCAAGCCTCGAGGACTAACCTTATTTTTTGGGCTCTTAGCATCAACAGCAGTATCAGTTTCACCTGCCTGAACCACAGGATCAACCACATGATCCTGAGAACTAGATGAGTCGTTACCACAACCAAGAACTATACCCTCTGAAGGAATCGGTATACTTGGTATCCTTTCAACTTTTGAAGAAGGAAGAGATTCATCATCAGAAGAATCATCGTAATCCACTGCAATATCTCTTTCTGTCACAGGGGAATTACCTTGAGACCTTCTTCCGCCCTTCCGAGAAAGCATATGCTTTAAAGTTTGAGCAGATTTTTCGGCATGCTTGAACAAGCTTTTTGCCCGGTCTTTCATATTTCCTTTTGATGGACTATCTGGACCACTTTCCCCGTAGCTTGAATCTTCCTCTTTTGGAATGTTATCCAAAGCAGGCCTGGCGAGGTCTTCTTCCACTACAAACTTGACACCAATCTCCTTTACATCAACTGCCTTTATGTTTATATGGGGTGATGGAATGGTCTCGGTAAAGCTGTTGGATTTTCCATCCTTGGGACTCCTGTGAAATACTGAACCGATCTTTCGTATACCCCTCCGAACTGAACTCATTGAACGTTTATCATCAGGGTTTTCATCAGAGCTGCTGCTATCATTATTTTGTGATCTTGATGGTGTTAAAATAGAGTTTCCAGTAATATCATTTGGCTCCTTAAGAATTTTGGTATCAAGGTGCCGACACTTCCCTTTTCTAGGCTCCCAAGTTTGTGAAACATCGCTTCCCGGTTGATGGACCCATATACCTGTCTCTTTCTGCCCTTCAATATCAATTGGCTCAAAATATTCTGCCACCCTCTGAGACTTCTCTGATGATGCAGATGAGAATGAGCCTTTGTTAGTAGTCTCGGTAGCGAAGGAATTTCCTTTTTCTTCCGAATGAAATGATTTCCAGTCACCCTGATGATCATCCGCCTAAATGCATGATATAAAAGATCAAGTCAGACTCCAAACGCACTTTGCACTGCACACTCTATTGTAACCATTACTTCAAAATCCGAACTCTCATTCTTTCAACTTTCTTTACTTATTAAATGAAACATTATGAATACGGGAAAGATACCTTTACATTCTCTTCGAGTATAGTTACTGCAAGATGCAACCTCCCAGTTTTAATATTCTGAAGAGGCAACCACATATCATGTCTTTGTCCATCCCTAAGATCGCTGATATTAACAGAGCAGTCCCTGGATAAGAAAGAGTTTATTAGTCCAAGGTAGCTATAGCACCAGAAATCCATTTGACAGAAAACAATTACTAGAAAGAGTTTGAAGAAAGAAATAACAACCAGGTATGACCAATAGTACAACTAACATTATTGGTTGACAGGCTTATACAGTGCAACTGTAACTGAATGCTATTTGAGATACAGGCTTCCAAAACATAACTTGACCTCTAAATTTTGATCCGATAACACAATGAAAACACCTACCCCCATTCCCCCGCCAAAAAAATACATTGAAAAAATTACAAGGTTAGAAACAAACCCAAGTATATCATCAACAAATCGGTCCTTGTCACGAACTTCAAGAGCTAATATGTTTGGCAATTCCCACGTAATGATGGGGATCTTAAACTCCTCATGCCATTTTGGTGACAGCGTTTTCTTTTGTATCTTAGTCCTAAATCTGTAAGAGCCCATTTGACCTTTCAAGTAGGGATCAGCCAAGCCTGAAAAAAGTAGCTTTGCTTGTTATGTTACACATGAATTTCAAAATTATCTGAATGGAACAGTGACAGCCATGAGCAAACAGACAAAGAAAAATAATCTTAACTAACCATTTAAATCAGATGGTTTCATATCAGATGCTTCAATAACTTCTATTTTGGCATAAGCAACTGGCTCCTTCTCATCCACGGAGAACCAATTTTCTAACATTCAGAAAAATGCATTCTTGATAAGGAGGAACAAAGAAAAAGATTAAAAAATGCGCACAAGACAGGAGTTTTAAACTCTAGTTACGAGCAACTATAGAATCTAAGCTACCTTCTAAGAGTTTTAAATGAACCTCTACAGAAATTTGATTGTGTGAAGAATAGAAGCTACCACCATAAAAAAAGTTTAGTAGTTAGCTTTGCCAATAATAATAATTGCTTTTGTAACTCCTTAAATTCCCAAAGTATAATGCACCTCTATAACTTCACAAATTCCCAAAGTTATAATGCACTACATCTAAGACAAACCAAAAGAAAAAGGGGAAAAAAATAGAATACACCTTGTTGTCACAGATTTAAGATATCCTATTGGGGGCTGGAGAAAAATGTGCAGTATGAAGAAACCAAACGTCATTTGATTCTTTTGAATCACAACATTACAAGCCGAACTGGGTTAAAGAATGATAGTTTTAAGAGAATTCCATGCAAAATTGTATAAGCAGTAAGTTAAGAGCCCTTCGGAACTAAAACTCTTGAAAGACATGCTATTGAAAAGTTAAATAGAATGAAGACGGAGGATAACAAATGTACATGGTGTAATTCACTCAATTGAACCATCTGTGCCAGGTCCGAAGCCCAAATGACTATAGTCTGGTAATATTACCTTGGTCAGCAGAAACAAATTTCTCCATGTCGACAACCAGCATGTTCGGCTGCAAATATTATCAACATCAAGATTTGGAATGTTTTAAACAAGAAACTTCATTGCCAGCTCGTGTGTCAAGAAAATGACATGATACGCAATAGAGGACAATTGAAGAGAGAGAGAGAGAGAGAGAGGAATCTCAAAGTCCATACTTTACCTCAACAAGTGTCTGCTCAAAAGCAACAGAAAGTAGCTTATCCTGATCGAGAAAGAAAACAATTAACATACATGGAACAAGCAAACAAGCAAGATTAAGAGGAGAAAAAAGGGAAAACCAAGGAGTTCAAGCAGTATATAAAATAACACACCAGCCACCCAGCAATTCCGGGAACTTCTGTAACATCAAGCCCATGACTGAAAATAGGCTTGATGGTCATCTGAAAATATGGAGGTTCAACAAAGCATAACCGCAAACGGCCAATGAAAGGCCAGTCACGAAGAAACTTTACCCCAACCAACACCTACCAAAGAGAAAAAGGATCGTGACACAAGTAAAACATATAAGAGTTTATTTTTGCAAGCCACTGGCATTTTTGGTAAACAGAAAAGTATTCTGTAAATATCAAGTTTAGCAAAAAAACTACAACAAAGCATTAGAGCAATATACTCATTCATTCATTTAGAGAATCCAAATAAAAAAAGTACTCGTATTAAACTACTCAGATTCTACTCCTATAATCAACCATACCTTTCCTTCAACATGCAAGCCAGTGAGATGCAACTTTGCCCACATCCCAAATCCCAGTCTTTTCCTCAGCTTCACAGCAAGTATTGCACTCATATCATCAGCTGTGAGAAAATTCATTCCCAACTCAAGAACCTGCATTCATCATATAGTATTTCAATTTGCAAAATTTGTGATTTGCAACTAGAAAGAGCAAATAATTCAAACAGAGAGACCACCCCAAGAACAAATACCAAGTGATCATCATCAGTACACTGACGAAAAACCCTCATTTCAGTAAAGATAGGCGGGTTTCGTCCCAAATAGAGATGTTGAACTATGGCTTTCTTCTGCAGTATTGGATCATTAACAACTCAAGAGTGTCAAAACATATTCACCGCACAAAAAAGTTACATGCACTTCCCAAAAACAATAACCAATAGAATAAATATAAATCATCATGTGCTACTTCAACAAAAACAAAATCTTTTTTCCAGTTCTAGAAGAAATAAAACCTCAAACAAATGCTCGGAATCAGAATCCATATTCAGTTCACAATACCTAATTAAGAACATGTAATCCAAATAACATATGTAGCTATTTCTAAATGCTAAGAGACAAATATTCTTATACATGAATCATGACATGAAAACAACATAAATATAAAGTTTTTGTCATGAAGGGAACGTTAATCAAAGAGATATTTCAACCAAAAATAAATCTTATTGCAGTACATGATAATCAAAATGCTGATATAGATGAAGAACATACCGAAAAAATAGCACTGCCAATCTAAATAAATGAAGTGAACATCACTAGATATGGGATACAGACTATTCAAAAGATAACTTCATCCAAAAACAAAAAACAAAAAACAAAAAACAAAAAAACAAAAAAACAAAAAAGTAAATTCATACAGCAGTCCATGGTTTGTACTTCTCCAAGAACCAAGGTATTATGGGGAGGAGAATCTTTTGTGAAGCAATCTGCTCCATACATATGGGCCATATCTTTTCCACTGCATGGTTCAACCAACGGACTGTTTCAGAATCAGAAAGTACCTGATTTAAAATAAAAAGAAAAGATGAGAAAAAATAATTAAGGCATTAATTTGTCTAAGTAATCCAGAAATATTAACAACTCCCAACTTTAGTTTCCATAAAACCAACAAGATCTACAGAACAAGAAAAGATAGAAAAATGTAGATATTTTGTTGCAAATATGCTAAAAACTCGGAAGTTTCAACCAGGAACTTTTATATGGGTGTTTAGTGAAAAGCTTTGGTTATTTTGCTACTAAGGCTACAAAAGAAGATTCAAAGTTGACTTTCCCGTTCAATTTCTCGTCGACCCAAATGAAGAATAACAAAGGTAATAGAGGATAAAATAAAACTTACCCTTCTCTGATTAGCCTGCCTCCTTTCCTCAAACTGCAATTTCCTCCGCAATCGCATAACATACCGCTCATGAACCTATAAAAATGACAAAAAAAAACCCAAAGAAAACAAAAACCCATAATAGTTAAAATTTGATAAATGGAATTTTTTTTAAAAAAGAAAAAAAATCTTAAAAGAATTTGTACCAGGTAGAGATAAATCAGAGAGAGGAAGTAGACCACGGGATGACAATATTTGACCTCAGCGAGAAGCCACAGAACAAGAAGCACAATTCCGACATGATGTATTATCGAAACTTGCGTTATATCCATTTTTGTTTCTTCTTCTTCTTCTTCTTCTTCTTCAAAAATACCCACAAAAGAAAAACGATAAGAAAAAGAAACCGTTATCTCTGATTCATTTTCACTGTTTTTTAATATGTTTTACCGTATTCTTCTCATTCAATCGTACCCACACTCACATACCCGCTAAAGGTTCAAAATCGACGAAATTTAAACACAAAGGGAATTCAAAAACTACAAAAAGGATCACAAAATCTTCACAAACTCAGGATCCGCTGATAACCCAGATCAAAAACCGGAAAACCCAAAAACAATGTAATGCGGGTTGAGCAGGAAATTTAGAGTGACCCAGAAAAGTCAAATCAGAAAGAAGGAAAAAAAAACACAAACGACAAAAAGGAAAGACAATTGAATTTGTGGGGGGAAAGGAAAACGGCAAACTTTGATTGGGCTCCCCTTGGGTAAAGGATGGCTTTTTCTGGTGTACGAAGACAGTTAGAACCTGGACGTTACCGTAAGGAGGAAGTAACCGGTGGCAACAGCAAATAGTGGAGAGAAAGTAGAGAGAGGTACGAGAACCAATAACATCGGAACGCACAATCGAAGTGAGTCGTGTTTTGAACTTAACGCGTTTGACTAACTGTTGTGTGCCACGTCCAAGAAACACGTCCACTACGTGTCTCGGACTCGGTATTATAGTATAACTTCAAATTTTTTTCCCCTTCTTAAATGTCGTGGGCCACTCTTCTTTATTCACATCCTTAAAGATAGTTATATCCGTCAAAGAAGATAATTTTGGACTTAGTTCATTTTTATTTTTTGAATCAGCTTGACTTCATATTTTAATTTGAGTTAAAGTGTATTTGAGTATAGTTTAAGTTGATATTCTAATTTGAATTTGTATTTACTTATGCACATTTGAGTTATAATTTGAATTAAAAATCTATTTGAGTGCATCAAAACTTGAATTTGTATTTTAATAGTATTTTAATAAAAACTCAATGGTAATAGAAAATTTTAATAGGGTATATAGGTAGGATTTTATTCGTCTCCTTGTTGTGGATGTATAGAAAAAAATCAACTCATTCGGAATTAAAACAGAAAAATTATGACGTTTTTAAGAATAAAAAAAATTATGGCGTTTTTAAGAATAGAAAAAATATTATTTATTAACTTGAATTTGAGTTTATGAACTTGAGTTGAAGGAAAAAATTGAACTCATGGCTCGTTTAGTTCGCTGATTCGAGTTGAGATGTAACTTTATGCGATAGCTTTTTACTGTAGTAAAAAAGTTAGATGTGAGTGTTTCTAAAAGCTTTTTACTGTAGCAAAACTTAAATCGGTGAAATGAATTATGCCTCAAATTTTAGCCCCAAACTCAAGTTAAAACTTGGTTAAAACTCAAGTTCAAACTCAAACTTTACAAAAGAACGTTGTCACGCCCCGGGGCAGGGGTCGGTGACGTGAAGGCTCGATTAGGAGTTAAACATTTAATAATTAAAACCAACAGTGAAATATTAAAGAAATCTCCAAATGAGCCCCACTATTGTGCCGAAAATAAATTACAATAACATCTCAAGAGACTAAAACTCCCGCCTCTCAAGAGGTTTATAAATAAACCACTAACACCGTTCAGGGCTACACCCACACGATCTTCAGTAAGACTGTTCATAAACCCGAACAACCTGCAAACCCAACCCACCCCGCCCCAACCTAAGCCGAAAAAACAACCCGCAGCATTATTTTTAAATTTTCGGCCCATTATATCTCTGGCTCGAAGTGTTTGGGGCGGATTGCGGGTTGGGCCCATAACAACCCGCAATCCCCAACCCAACCCGCACAACATACCCCCAAGCTTTCGGCCCAAGCCGACCTGCCCAAGTTCTACCTTAGGCTCGCTAACATTAGGGTTCACAATCTCATTCTCGGTCTCCCCTCCCATGAACCCCCTCTTCTTGCCTCTTGCTTTTCAGTTTTCCATCTTCTTCCTCTCCCGTGAACCCCCTCATAACTCTCTCCTCATTGCTCAGTCCTCTCGGCCGCCGTCTTGCCCACTTTCTCCGGTGCTCTCTCGCCAGACTGATAAGGATGGTTGCTATTTCTATTTAATGATGAAGTTTGAATATTATATTGAACTTTAAGTATTTGATTTTTTGAATGTTGAAACCGACCACCCAACCCACCCTGCACCGCCCCAACCCAACCTGAACATCGTTGGGTTGTAAAATTTTTCTAACATCGTTGGGGCCAAATATGTGCAACCCGCACCCTTTAGGGCAGGGAAAAAAAGTCCTACCCCGCACCAACCCAACCCATGAACAGCCCTAATCTTCAGTAGTGTACATACATGAACACGTAAATAACATTACAGAAATCAACCATAGTATAGAAATCCAAATATTCAGAGTTTACAGAATTACAAATTCTTACATTCATACACAAGGAGGATGAACACAATCCTCACCAACTCAGGTGGTAGCAATTTACTCAACTAATCTACATTGCTCCTAGAGTCGCCTGGGAGGGGTTAATATTTATAAAATAATAAAATGTTAGCAAAAGACCCAGTAGGATATATTTTGAAATAACTTTATAAATAAGTAAATGAATAAATATAGACATTCAGTTCCAACACAACAGTCGAAACCTCACATACTTTTTCTCAAAAGAAATATAACTGAAAATCTCCGTATTACAGGCATCAGCAAGTAATTTATACTATGATAAATTACTTACACAACCACATGCACAAGCCATATCACCCCAGGCCGGGTTTCAGGTCCTACCCCCAAGGATGCACTCTCGACATACTATCTAGGCCATCAGCCAGTTTACCGATTTGCAAGATCTCTTATTATAAGAAATCATTCATTAAACTTTATGAAACAGTTCATTATACTCCCCAGAACTACAACAAGCCATGGGGGTTAAAATATTTTTCTTTCGCAAACATGCCATTTCTTTATAACATTTGCAAGGCCAAAACATTTTTGAAAACAAGCTCACAAAGGAAAGGTAAGAAATCCTCCCTCACAAGTACCAAACCTGGCTAGCGTTACACTATTCCGGCTTTCACTTCCTCAAAGCCCCTCAATCCGAGTCCTCAACTAGCACTGATACAAAACCACGCTTTAGGATCCAATTCACATTCCTAAAGCAATTTCAATCTCAATTATATTTTTTGATTTCCTATTAGTGTGTCATAATTCAATTACCGGTTTTACAAACCATTTCATGTTTGAAATCATCATTCTAAAGGTTTTCAATATCAAAACATGGATTAAAGAAGCTAATCCATTCACTCTAGGTCCCCAAATGAAGCTAATTTGGGTTCTCCTCGAAAACCGAGGTCAAAACAGGATTTTTTAGCAAAATAGGGTCAAACCCGTGTGCACCGGTCAACCGGTGACAGATCAGTGCAACACCATTGATCGACCAGTGGTGTGCAATTCAGTCAACCGCATAGTTGATCGGTGGACTCAGTGTAGTCCGGTCAACCGCATAGGTCGACCGGTCCAGTCGACCGCACAGGTCGACTTGTGAAGAACATCAGGACGAGGAAACTCGCCAAAATCAGTCTGAAAACATGCAATTTCAGTTCCAATTCGAATGTAAATACTGAGAATATTTAAATACCTTGGAATTATTTAAATTTACTTGTTAGAAACATTTATTAATCAATAATTAATTTATTAAACCAGATTAGGCACACTAATAAATCTTAATTACCTCAATTAATCTTGTTTTAATTCTTCGGGGTGTTACAACTCCACCCCCCTTAAGGAATTTCGTCCTCAAAATTTGGACTTACCTTAAAATATAGACAGCTGCGGATACTGCTCCTGCATCATCGTTTCAAGCTCCCATGTCACTTCCTCAACTCCATGGTGCTGCCATAATACTTTCACTAATGGAATCTCACAATGACGTAAACTCTTCATCTTACGATCGAGAATCTGAACTGGCGCTTCCTCGTATGTCGCGTCATACTGTATTGAAACGTCAAACCATTGTACCACCGCTTCCGGATCAGGTTGACATTTACGAAGCATGGAGACATGGAACACGTCATGCACGTGAGATAACTCAGGCGGTAAAGCCAGACGATACGCCACGACCCTAACTTGTTGCACGATCGGGAATGGTTCAACGTACCTTGGCGCAAGTTTTCCTTTTACTCCAAAACGAACAACTCCTTTGTGTGGAGAAACCCTCAGCAAAATAAAGTCACCTTCTTGGAATTCCAAAGGCCTACACCTTCTGTCAGCATAGCTCTTCTAACGACTTTGAGCCGTTAACAATCATTCCCGTATCACGGCTATCTTCTCGTTATTCTCTTGAATAACTTCCGGTCCAGTAGTAAGTCGATCATCTGGTTCTAACCAACAAACAGGTGATCTACAAGGTCGACCATAGAGAGCTTCGAACGGTGCCATACCGATACTGGCCTGATAGTTGTTGTTATAAGCAAATTCAGCAAGGTGCAGATATTTCTTCCAATTTTTGCCAAAATTCATAATACAAGCACGAAGCATATCCTCAAGAATCTAAATTACTCTTTCAGATTGTCCGTCAGTCTGAGGATGAAATGTTGTGCTAAAATTCAATTCTGTTCCTGTGGCTTCCTAAAAACTTTTCCAATACCTTGCATTAAAACGTGTGTCGCGATCGGACGTAATCGATAACGGTACCCCGTGAAGTCTCACGATGTGCTCCAAGTATAATTCAGTCAGAATCTCTCGAGAATACGTCACACGGAATGTTATGAAATGCGTAGATTTCATCAATCTATCCACCACCACCCAGATGACATCGTGCTTCTACTCAGTTCTCGGTAGTCCCATCAGAAAATCCATTGTGATGTGTTCCCATTTCCATCCCAGAACAGGTAGAGACTGCAACTCTCTTGCTAGTTTCTGGTGTTCAGCTTTAATTCGGAGACAAGTTACACATTCTGAGACGTACTCACGAACGTCTTTCTTCATACCTCTCCACCAGTATTGCCTCTTCAGATCCTGGTACATCTTGGTGCTTCTCGGATGAATAGCGTACCTCGATTTATGGGCCTCATGCAGAATCATCTTCTTGATCTCGTCCACCTTAGGAACAGCTAGGCGGTTGCGGAAATAAAGTGCTCCATCCTCTCGGATTCTCGAATCTTCAATTGCTCTCCATTCTGGGTTTGAATCCAAATTCCTTGAAGAAGAGGATCCTACCACTGATTCTGCTTAACTTGTTGCACAAGGTCCGGTGTGGAGATTAGATTATACACCATTGCCTGTTATAATCCTCGTAGTACTGATGATCATAATCACTTACAACTTTAGTCCTTTTCCAGTCTTCCAAAGCTAATGACGCCAAAGTCCCTGAAGTCTTCCTACTAAGGGCGTCAGCTACCACATTAGCTTTTCTCGGATGATACTACAGCGTGAAGTCATAATCTTCCATGTACTCCACCCATCTCATCTGCCTGAGGTTCAGATCTTTCTGAGTAAACAAGTACTTCAGACTCTTGTGGTTAGAGAAGACGTGAAACTTTACTCCATAAAGATAGCATCTCCATATCTTCAAAGCAAATATCACTGCTGCTAATTCCAAGTCATG